GTCTTCTGCGTGGCTGAGGATTTGTGGCGCTGCAGAGACGGCTGGGCGATCCGGGAGCTGAGGAACTTCGACGGCAGCGATCGCGACAACAGGCTCTGCAATGCGTGCTGCTTTTTAAAATAGTCGACTGCTAACGGACAGATGGGGCCAGTACTTACACTGGATAACTTCCCAAAAACTGACATGGCTGCGCTGCGCTATGAAGAGGCTGATGCTCGTGTGTGGCGATATATGCACGGTGAAATCAGAGCTGTCACGAGCACTCGTGATATGTGTGTTTCTGTTCGTTTCTCTGTTTCTGCCCCTCCGGGCATCTGGTTGTTCGTTTACATATCGGCGTTACACACACACTGACACACACGCAGCAGTTGTTCATCGCTGGTTTTGGTTGACTTCTTAGTTGCTTTCTCAACAAAACACTCGCACTCGGCTTCGTGCTTTTGTTGTTTTTTCCGTTGCTAGTTTCCGGGCGTTGCGGTTACATCCGCTTCCCCTTCCGCGACAAAGCTCCATGAATATCCTTGTGGTTCTGTCGGAACAAGCTGGAAAAAGCAAGCAAGTCGCAGATTAAAAGAACATCCACTTTTCTGCAAAACTTTTTAAACAAAAAACTTTAAAATCAATGACTGTGACTTCTGCAATGCGCATCGTATGCACGGGCCCGGTGCATATTAACTGGAGACTTTTTATTCGATCAAGTAATTCCATTGAGGATTCTTGATCACAGGAAGACTTCATTCAGTCAACGGACGTCCAAGCAGGTTCTTTATTCCCAAGCTGCTTGTGCATATGAAAAGGCTGGTTCCTCTGCACATTCCAACGTTGCTCGTCAAGCCATTCAACGAAAAACATGCCCAACATTTCCGTAACGCTGAACATTTCCTTCCACAATTCGAGTCTGCTTTTCAGTTCATCCGTGAATAGCACCGAACCGTCACATTTCGCGATTTGGACCATTGCTGCTCCATTCATAGCACTACTGACCAACAGCGCTGCTGTCATCCTGATGGTGTGCAACGAGAAACTTCGGACCCCCTTCAACGTGTACATCATGGCAGTGATCTGAGCAACATCGCTTACGTCACCATCGCCGGCATACTGAGCATAACCAACGCGCGATACATCTACCAGAACTGGACACTGGGTGTCGCCTTATGTACGGTACGCATATATACCGATTACGCTGTCAGCGCCGTCACGGTGCATCTCCACCTGCTGGTTAGTCTCAGCCGCGCCTGGGCTTTGTTCGGACCAATGTCCTATCGCAGCCACCACACCAGACGCTTGGCGGTGATGTTCTGCGTAGGTATGGTCCTTTATGTGCACATTCTGCTGCTGCCTGGGATCATCCTGGACGCTGTATATTACCGCCTCCCCGTGGAGAACGGCTGCTGGGTCAACAACTCCCGCCAGATGGTGTGGTCGACATTCACCACCGTGGTGGTATTCGATATCCCCAAGCTCTTTATTCCCGTATGTTACCCAGTGCTGTTGTGGAAGACATTGCAGAGGCGAAAAATCGGGGCTACCTTGCGCGGGCAGATGGAGGATAGAGCACCGTCATCGCCGACGGCATCATGCCCGAGCAGATAATGTGGTTCGACGCGAGAGCGCTGCTTCACGGCCCTTCATCGTTCTGACCTTATTCACCGTTGGTATTGTCGTCTGCTGGATCCCCGGGCTGGTGCTCTATCTTCTCGTAAACTTTATTTCCCGGAAGGAAATCTCCATGTTTTATACCGTATCGGCCATTCTGTATTCACTGCAGGCGATACTCGATCCGGTCTTTTTCTGTCTGAGCGTCAGGGATCTGCGATCGCGCCTGTGTTTATTGCGGAACCGGTGTACGCGCTGCGGCGGTGCCGAGTTCAACTGACGTTATGACGATACACGCAATTTCAACTAACTAATCCGCTTCTTTTTTTCCTGGCTGATAATTTTTCCTTACAAATGCTGAGCTTAGTGCCACAATAAAGAATGATAATATTCCAAATTTCCTAAAAAAAGTGGTTCTTCAGCATTAAAATCAACTGGCAATTGTATGGAAATGGTTCCGGGTAAGACTTTCGGGCTTAAAACTGGCACTTTAATATAAGCGCATACAGATGTGTCGTATTACAAGACTCAACACAACCGTCCGGTAACGTTGTCTGCGTACGAGAAATGTTGCAGTCTGTATCCCTGCCTATATCTCTCGGTAGAGCACTCTTTTCTCGCAAACTGGTACGGGGAAATAAATTGTAGGAACGATGTACACACGAACTGGTTGGTACACAGGAACCAGGAATCCCTATCAGGAGCCCTACGAAAGATACGAACAGAGGAATAATGCCTTACTTCTCACTTCCGGTCTCGGGTAATACGGGATCTTATCATAATAATTATTGCGAGTAATATCTGTCCTATTTACAGCGCCAGCAGCAACGGCACCTATGTTACTACGTACACACTTCAAGTCGATAATTAACCGATAAATTACCCTAACAGGTGGCGTTTGAGTTGCGGTTGCCGCGCGAGCTGGACGCCGACAGCATCGCGGAGATCTCGCGGGCGCTGGCCTTCGTGGCCAACTACCGCGGCCACATCCGGCAGTGCCTGCCGCTGTACGACGCCCTGGACCGCTGGGTGCGCCACCGCATGGAACGCGCCGCCTATCTCAGCCATCCCGTCGTCGACATGGTCCTCAAGCTCCTCGGCAAGAGCCACGCCCATACGCTCACTTCAGAGACGGCGCGCGGGTTGCTTAGAAGGTGCGTTTTTTCTAGTACAGTGGCGTTTTACGTTCACGGCGGAATAAATTAAAAATGATTTTTTTTAAAATAAAAGTTATTATGATTTGAATCTGTTTTTGTTAAGAAATTAAATATGATTTTAAATGTGATTTTTGTGAACATAACAGATCATCCGCTCGCTCAGTTCAGAGACGCCGCGACAGCTGCTTGAGAGATGTGTGTCTTCGTAGTGCAATGGCGTTTTACCTGCTACAATTGTGTCGTGTCGTCCGCCGTCGACATGTTACTTGTTTGCGATCGACTTGAATAATTAATTCTGGTTTATTTGGTTCCGATTTTCTTTTTTTGGCCCGTTATCCCATTTTTCGTGCAAGTTTTCAGAAATTAATTTCTATTCTTGTCTGAATAATATTATTATTATCGATTGTTATTATTAATTAATAACTGCATACAAATTATTTAATCAGGGTAAACGAATTTTTATAATAAAGAAAAATTCAGATACTGTATCTTACAAGAAATCTTACAAGCACATTTTATTGGGTTATTCAAGTGAACATTGGTTAAGCACAACATTGATAATTTCTATTTATTAATCATTGCTGAACACTAAAAAGCACTTTCAATAAAAACTGAAATAGTAAACCAGAAACCTGAAAATTTTTTACGAAAAAGTTAGTTTTTTCTCACAAGATTTGATGGACCGTGGAATATTTAAGAACACTATCCGTTCATTATTCTGGTTTTATTTTAAATTGAATTTCCTTTAATTTCTAGTTCGGCAAATTGTTTCATTTCATTTCTTCCCTGTATTGTATTTATTTGATGATGCTAATGTGTATTAATTTTCCTTGCTCGCCGACAGATAGCTTGCGGCGCCGTACAGATTTTTGATTAAGAAACAAATCTGCAGATAATTATTTGTGCCATGATTTTGTAACTGTTTTTCTCCTCAGTTAATGACTGATTTAATTATGGATAGTGTGCGGTATTTACGCGGCAAATACCCGGCGGAATTCCATCCCGAGCACCGCATCCACGCGCTGGAGGAGGAGCTGAGCGGCATGCTGCCGGACGTCAGCGTCGGCCTGGACCGGGTCGATGCCAACCTGTTCAAACCGCGGCCGCCGCTTACGGATGCTGCTGCGACGGAAAATCAACCGGCGTGATATTTTTGATTTGTTGTTGACCTTTTCTGCAGTTGTGAGTACTGGATTAATTATGGCATGAACAGATGGAATGAAGATTGAATAAAATTGGGAACAGACGAATGCCCAGGGACCGTTTGATGACCTTGATTCGTCTGAATTTATTAGCATTAGCAATATTTGTAGAAGCGAGCATCGCTCACGTACTTTCAGATGGATATTTTAATCATATAAACAAGACTACAGCAAAGCTGCCAAGAAAAACAACATCGGGAACAAATCATTCCCGATCAGCCAATCTAAAAGCTAAAAAACGTTTTCGCTGTCTCTCATGTCTCGTTACTTTCAGATGATACATTTGTCCCAGTTAGCACGAGAAGAGCTAGAAAGTACACAACACACTCACAACAAGTGAAGCCACTCTCGCCCCGTCAAAGTTCTAATAAAGCGTTTCTTACCGATCTCCTTCAATCAAACAACAGCCGCATCCAGCTACCAAATGTTTCGTATGCGATGGAAACAAAATAACTGACATTTTTTTTAGTGTTCAAATTTTAACCATGAAGTACAGTAGTGTGCCAGCGTTTGCAATTATTGTAACGAAGCCGCACTTTAACATGTACTGTAGCGGCTCGAGCAGGTTATACCACACGATTGGTGCACGGTAATTCAACGCTTGCAGCGGTGCAGCGCTCGGGCATGGTAACGCATGGGCATGCACACGGTACAAGTGGGCTGCTTCCCGTACACAAACTCAGTGGTATAGCCTGGTCGAAGCTGCGACAGTACTTTTCCCAGAGCAGAAAGGGGAGCTTTTTAACTGAGATTGAGGATTTTTTACATTTATATAGAATGATGACACGCTTATACAATAAGATATGTTCACAGTTATACGCTGTACGATTACATTGGTGTTTGACCCGCTAGCATTTGCTCAGACAGGCATTATTGCACATTGCACGATCGTTTGTTTTTAGAACTGATGTTCTTGTCAGGCTTACCTGCGCGCGTGCAGGCGTTAATGTTCTGTGTTCTCGTTGTAGCGGCAGATAAATTAATTTTTCAAGGGTTTTCGTGAATTAAATCCACCCTCTCCTCCCACCCATGCACCTGCTGTTATTCGCCTTAACATTTTCAGTAGTCGGCGATAATTGTAATTCGCACTAATTACCACAACTGATCTAATAAAAATGAAATAACCAGTAATCAACTTGAAAAATCATCTCGCTCAACGCATTTCGCGCAGTTCAAGTCGCCGGTTGTTCTATGGAAAAGTCCGCTACAATGGTCTCCCTCCACCTTGATGAAACAGCTCAAACAAGCAATGAAAAAAAATCCAAGCGTGCGAAGTATTCAAATTAATGTTATGAACAGCCGTTTACAGATTAGGACAGTATACATCATGCAACTGCTGATAACCCTCTTTCACCGTTTCCATAGCATCTTGACCGCATTTTCTCCCCATTTCAATACCATCCGTGCCGCTGATGCGTTCTACGAGGGCTTTCAAACGCCTAAAAAAAGCAGTAGGGAGACATGTACTATAAATAATTGCTTTAACCAGCTGCGTACTGGCCGCAGCAATTGATATCACTACCGAGCTATGTTGTGCGACATACTATCGCTGCAGTGCATGCGAGGGAATATCGTTAGACCATAATACGAATCATAAGCATGTAAGTCTGCATGTTCATCACGGGCACACCGACAATTCGATGACCACTATCATGCTGACTGACAACTTGCTGGCGACATTTTGCTGATCGACCGAAACGAATGAACGAACTACGATATTTTCTAATATCTTTAACTAAATATGACCCTAGACCGACTGTGATTTTAAATAAGCTTGCCGTATACCGACGCTGCTTTTTAAGAACGTACTGGCAAATAGTCTGGCGGGCAGCGGACTCATTTTCGTTCTGTTCATACGGGGCAGCTGAGCCTAGTGTGCAACAGTCGGAGAACTTGCGATGATCTTTTTCATCGCAGTGCATTGCAGCGCGGATGTGTTTCACCGGTCCGATGGTGGTATTTCACAGCAGACCAGTGACGATGTGCCATTCCGGCCTGTACCATCCACCATAGTTGCTTTTCTCGCTGTTGTATACCTCGGGACATCGGGAATACACCTTCCTCAGGCAGTTTCCCACGTCGGTGCTCCGCCTAAAGCAAAGACAAAATTTATAAAATATCTCACTACTCGATACTGCTATATGTTCAGCTGGCAGAGTGATGTAAAATACCGGCAAAAGGCATCGCCAAACGGTCGATCGATGTTTGAATTGTCAGAAAAGTTTTGTGAGAGGACACCCTATTTTAGATACTACAATAAACAGCCTGGAGACAGCGGTTTTTATTGCACCGGTTTTTATCTGTGGTGGATCAAAACCAGTTTGTAATGCCCGCTCTACAGCCATGCACGAGCATTTGAGTACTAACATAGATGCTATCGAATCGTTAGATAATCACACCATTTTGTCTTATTCACAGAGAACTGAAATACGGTTCAGGTTTACGGCGCTTGCTTAAAAGTAGTACGTACTTAAATTCGGTTAGCCGCGGTACTGTTGTTTGTTGTGGACGGTAGCGAGTAAGCGGAAGCGACAGCAGTGTTGCGGGTTTTTGAGAGAGAACAGGTCGGCATAATTGGGCATATGCGAAATCGAAGTCGGAGCAGGCGGACCTTCCGACGACGACTTTCCGATATCCCTTTTGTGCCCGACTGCCCCAAACAAACCGTTACCCGTTGGAGTAGGGATTCAGCGTGGTGGAGGCCGGCGTCCGGATGTAGCGCGTGTAGCAGTTGCTTTTCCATCGCCCTGCGCGCTGGATCACGCGGTCTGGCACGTTGTTGCATGCGGCGGTGGTTGCCGCGCCGATGCGGAAGCTGTGGGTGTCAATTCGGAGCTGGTCCGGGTGCCCCTCCAGGAGACGATGGAGGCAGGCTTCCACGCCTGGTCAGGTATCTGCCGTCCTGGTGGATGAGGAGCGGCCGTGCTTCAGCTGTCGGGTTGAACTGAGCAAAAGCCATATACTTCCGGTAGGCCTGCACGGGACACACGGAACGACCGGTCGCCGTCAGCGCTACGGAGTGGCCCTGACCGGTTGGATCGGTCTTCGTGACTTTTAATTGGATGAGGACTCGGCTATCTTGGTCTTGCACGTCTGTTGACATCAGAGTGCGCCGCGGATCGTAGCGATTGGTAGCGGGGCACGTTACTTCTCCGACGCGAAGGTAGCCAAAGTACATGAGGGTGAACGTTGCCCAATACAATGACTGTTCGTGGTGGGACATGCTACTGGAGCGGATGGCGTCCTTCAGGTGCCGCATCATCTCCAGCGTGACAGGTTGGCGCTTGTCCGCACTGGATGGGGCCAGTCGCCGGTAGCCTTGCAGGGCGCGAGTCACAATGTCGTGGCCGGTTGGGGATGTCATGCCAGCTTCACGGTGGTAATTGTTGATGCCGGCAAGGTAAACGGTTACGGTCCGGAGGGATTTTCTTGCGGAATACAGATGCGCGACGTATTCCGCAGTGATTTCTGGCGTCGCTGGGAGTGTCTGAGCAAATCTAGAACTGCAGAATACTGAGAACTGTTTGACGGCAGTTACGTACGTCTGCCTGGTGGAGCTGGCAATATGGGCGTGCAGCAAGTTGTTTAGGCCGCGTGTGCGCTGTACGCTATTAGAAGCTGCGGGAAGATGTCCGGGCATGGATCCGGACGTTCCGACGCTGTTGGTGCAATCGCTCGGAATCTGCTTCGCTAAAAACGAGATAGGGGGTCAGCAATCGCGTTATTAACGCCGCGTATATGCTTTATAGTAAAAGTCATATTAGCGCAGGCAGCGGCTTTTAACATGCGGCGCATGAGATCTAACACGCCAACGTTGGTTGAGCGTAGATTCTCCCAGGCCAGGGTGGCGCCTTCGTTGTCGCAGTGGAAGATGACCCGCTTCCTTTGCAGCTTAGAGCCCCAAACAATTAGGCTGAGGAGTATCGGTATCAGCTCGAGGTACTCGATGCATGGCTTCCGCTAAATAATCCACGGTGGCCAGCGCAGTTGGAACCATGACCCGTGACAATATGCACCAAGCCCGAGAGTTCCTGACGCGTCTGTGTAAAGGTCCAGGACGTCAGATTTTGTCCAGTCCGGCTGGATGAAGGACGCGGTGCCGTTCCAGGCTGGGAGGAATTCTTTCCGCCATTCCAGATCCTTACGGAATTCACTGTTGAGAGCGATGAGCCTTTCGTGGTAGTTGTCGGTTAGCAGGGCGATCATGCGTCGAGTAAATAAGCGGCTCGCTGGGACGCATTGGGTAGCAAACGTGAGTGTTCCGATAAGGCTTTGGAACTGCTGCTTGGTGCAGTGGTCACGGTTGCTCCATTCTTCCAGCGTTTCTTCGATAATCTGACGTTTATCGTCGGGGAGGCTAAGGGTTTGTCGGACAGAATCTAGCCGGATGCCCAGGAACGTCAGCTGAGTCGCGGGCCCTTTGGTCTTGTCGTGTGCCAAAGGGACCCCGAGTTCACTGCACGTCTGAGTCATGGTGGACATCAATGTGCCGCACTGATTACTTCCAGGTTTTCCAGCAAAGAAGTAGTCGTCGACGTAGTGGAGCATGCTGACTAGACCGGTGCGGTTCGACACGATCGAGTGGATGGCGCCAGCGAATTGCTCGAACACGTACGGCGATGCCCTACACCCGAAAGGCAACACTACATCAGGTGATGCCCTACACCCGAAAGGCAACACTACATCAGAGTAAAACTCGCCGTTCCACTGATGGCCGAGGAGATTCCACTCCGCCGGGCGTACCGGTATCAGTCGGAAGGCTGATTTTACATCCATTTTGGCCATGAGTGCGCCTCTGCCGAGTTCCGTTAGGATGGATACTGCATGGTCAACGGTGCAGTATACCAGAGGAAGTTGCGTGACGTCAATGTAATCGTTTACACTGTCGTCGTGCGGCTGGGATAAATCCAGGATGGTTCGAATGCTACCGTCTTTCTTTGGCCGTGCGCCGAGGGCGTTGCAGACAAAGTGCGGCAAGGGTGGGTCAGGAAAAGGACCGATGGTATGGCCGGCATCGACCTCTTTCCGTATGGTACGCGTAACCTCAGCGTGGTGCTTGCGTGTTGAGACGGCGTTTGGTGTGGAGCGTGCTTTCTGGGGACCGTTGTAGTAGATAGTGCAACCGTTTGTAAGTGTGGTGGATATAAATGACGTTAATGTGGAGTCAGGATGTTGAGCAAGCAGTCTGGCAAAGGTGCTAATTTGTAGCGGTGTGGTTGCCTTTGCCGGCACTGTTACTTCTTTATTTATCCAGCTTCGGGCAGGTGGCCGTCCGATGCTTGCGGTCACCACAGCTGGCGCAGGCGTGGACTCTCCCGGCGCGGCACGGTGTTGGGCAGTTTCCGTAATTATAGTTACGGCAGATTTCCCCGTCTGCGGCGGGAGCGGCACGAAAGGGCTGCCCGTATCCCGGTTGACCTTTTCGCGGTGCGGGGCAGCTGCTGATGTAATGGTCTGTCCCTCCGCAGTTTCGGCAGCGATCGTCTTTCTGCTTCGGCTTTTCCGGGCGCGGGGACGGTTCGCGTTCGGCGTGCGATGCGTTCTGGATGCATTCAATGTACGTATCTTCGTGTTGATGGGTCCACTGGTCGAAATCGTACGGATGTCCAGTCATATGCGCGCGGAACTGCCGATCGTACTCGAGCCAGTTGGCGGTCGGAACCCCACGCTCGACATACGATGCAATTATGTCCATATACTTGTAGAAGCGGGTGCTTAGTTCCGGTGCAATGTGAGAGCGGTAGCTGGCGAACACGCCGAAAGCGCGCATCCATGATGTGAAACAGGTAATCCGGACTTTCCGTCCTCCGGCTTAATGGTGACCTTTCCGTTATCGAACACCATTTTGGAATCCAGTTTCTTTGGTTTTTCGACGCGGTTCTTCAGCAGGAGTAAGTCCAGATCAATGTATTCAGTGTGGTCGAGCAGCTTCTTCACGAGCTTTTTGTCCAGTGACGGAAAATGGTACGGAAAGGGGGGAATGGCTGCGTTTCCGGCGGCAGTTCCCCGCAGAGGCCCCAGTCGGCTGAAAACGTCTGGACGTCTCCCAAGGCGCTCGCCGGCCGGCAGACGTACTGGTAGTGTGTCCGATAATTCACTGCTAACAGATGATTGCGAGCTGCTACGCTTACCTTTTTCTGGGCTGCGTTTACGCTTGCGGTTAGTGGAGTGTCCGAAGTGATCAGTCTGGTGCACGATTCTTCCGAAGTCGTCACCAATCTGGATCTGCAGGTTGGAGGATGGAGACAGTGGACGAGGTGCCGATGGATCTGGAACTTTCTCCGGTGCTGATGGCGGCAGAACAGGTTCCGGTGCTGGTGGTGCTATCTGTGGCGGCGGTGGGGGTGGTGGTGCTAGGCGCTCCATTGCGGCGAGAATTTTATCCAGCTGCTCCTGGTGCTTTTTCTGTTACTGCGCGAGCGATTGCACCGTCGGTTCCGGAGCTTCCGCGTCGCTCGCTGTGGTGGGGGGCTTACTGGCGGCGGTGGTCCGTTTCGCTCTGTTGGATGTCGCGGGCGCGCTCTTCGCTGGCTGCCGTCCTCGGTTGCCACGTCCAGTCATTTCTGGGGTGTAAGAAATGAGCGTTAAATTTGCTTGAAATAATCGGATGTGGGTTTGGGGATCAGAAGTTTTTTCCGCTGAAGGTCACTGAGTACTTGATTGATATGCTATTGCCTTAGGTGCGGTGTGCAAAACATCGAGCAATTAGTCAAGTAATCAGGTCGGAGGAAAATTTCGACTGAAAGTCACATCAATGCGGTTGTGAGCATTAGACAGTTGGCTGATGGATAGCTAGCGTGATACGTAAATAGGTCAAGACAAGGATCTGATTACATTTTTCTTGTGCCATAAAGGTGTCTGTCGGCAAGATTAATTTCCTTGATAAGGTCTAGGACAGTTGCTGCGAGAACCGTACTTGATATAAACGTTTTCTAGCTCCAACAGGTTGATATATCGCGTGACAGCAAACATATCGCGTGACAGCTCTGCCTACAAGCAGTCTAGCCCTGCAAGCCACACACCATTTTATCAAATTGTTGAATCTTCCTGGAAAGCACACTTTGCACGGTACACTAAAAAACTCCGGAAACTGAAAAACTCCGGTAGCGATGTATTAATTAATTTTAGTGACTCACTTAAGATGACGACAACAGAAAACTGTAACAACACTTCGCGGTTGCAGGGCCGGCTTAATCATATCTACAGATTACAGTCAGTGGCGAAACAGGGTAATTATATAATTTTTGCGACACTTCGCACAGTTCGCAGACTACTCCGGTAACCGGTATGACACCGCGACCAACAACTGGGAATTTCTACCGGATTTGCCAGAATGGCGAAAGAGATTTGCTATGGTTGCGGTGAACGGCTATTCTGGGCGGGAAAGTATACATTTCTGCTGTTAACGTTGCGACTACTTTCACGGCTGACTGTATTCGTTTGAATAACTGAATCTAGAGACTGCTGCATGGGAATAAATGAAGCCGCTTCAACAGCCGCGGAGTTATCATGTTAGCCTGCTTTGCCGAGAACAGAATATACGTATGCGGTGGCATAGACGTTGTGGAAAGACACGCTTTAATACTAAAATTATACACGGTTAACCGGAAAACAGGGTGGTCGGCCGTCGCGGTCTTGGAAAATGGGGCTTAAATGCTGTCGGACTACACGGCAAAAACTGATAGAATGTTACTAGCCGCCATTTCTGTCAACTTGTATGGCGACATTTCTCAATGAATTTCTAAACAACACCGATTCTGAAGGATAAAAAATGAAACCAGTGGGTATCCATTTCCCACGAATGTTTCAGTTCCTTTATCTAGGATTCCAAGCAGGCTCATTGCTTTCAACTGATTTGCATCCTACAGGCGAAAAGCTTAGTCGCATTTGACAGTTCCTTGCTCAAATCACTGATGCGGAGACAAGGCGATGCCCTTCGTCGCTTACGAGTTCAAACTACCGTTTTTACTTTCAACTTTTAGTAGCTGACTTTCTGTTACTGTATTGTAATTTTTCAACCGTGCAGCTCATTTTACGATACGGAAGCTGCGTAATGGTGCGTCCAAATGGACAACATGGCACGAAATAAACAATGCAAATTGTCCCAAACCGAAGTGTCCCAGCGTTAAAATGTCCCCCGACGAAATGTCTTCGCGGCGAAAAGTCGTGCGTCGAATTTAACTGCGGCGAAATGTCACGCTCCCAAATGTCCGGGTTCGGCTTCACTTGCAGTATAATCAAAAAAGCTAAAAGTACAGTAGTATGTGAATTCTGAACGGAGACTGAGCGCGCTCGTACAACGTTCGCCAGGCTGAGCCACTGAAACTTTCGACAAGTGCAGGGTAACAGTACAGTACTGTGGGTCTATGGGCATTGTTATCTGCTGCATGTTTCCGAGATAATGTTGTTTGATTAATGATTGCATACTTTGTTTGCTTTCCACTGCAACATCGCAAGGCAAAATGTATACAGTCCATAATACGAGTAGTAGTAGTCCATATTACGCGTATATTCAAGTAGGCTTATTGACAGCGTTAAAAATTAACTCATTTGCAAACGTACGGTAGCGTGTCTAACTGGATTTGCGAGCAAAATTTAAACTTTTCCTTTATTTCCTCACCGGACTGAGAATGGGAAACAACGCGTCCGACACGGTGAGATCCGTCCAAAATTTTGGCCGTACTGTGCAATATCACTATTCTCACGCGGATTTAATTGGAAGAGGATCGTTTGGCGCTGTTTACAAAGCCAGGGTCACGAAGCGTGGCGATTATACAGGAGACACTGTTTTAGCTGTTAAAGTGATCCAAACCTGCGCTCCGTCCCAAAAAGCCGCTGATTCCGAAGGCATGGTGCGAACCGTGGAGAGGTTAAGTAAACTTACTAAAATTACACATGCAAATCTCGTAGTCTATCACAAAGTGTCCATCATTGAAACTTCTGGCGGAGCCACAATCGAGCTAGCGATGGACTATCATGCAGGTGACTAATGTGTTTATTATGTTACTATCAAAAATTTTTGGCTAGGGCTATTTTCCCGCATTATTCTTCGGCGCGTGTAAATAGTCTTCGAGCATCTTCCTGCGCCTTTATTGCTCAGAAATTAAAACAAACTTTTACTTAACTTAAAGAAATCAAATCTAAAAATTCTAAGAAGTAAAAAATATTTAAAAAGAACAAAGAACTAAGAAGTAAATATTCTAAAGAGCTCCGCGGTAAAGTATCACGAATCTCGGGAACTCTGAGATATCAGGAATCTAAGTTATCAGGAAAGGATGAGGACTCGTTCAAGTTATTAATCGAGGCCAAGACTGCGGCAAAACTGTAGTGTGCGGTTGCATAGCCAAAGGCTTGAAGGCCATTTTGGCGACCTCAGTGCGGTGTTATAGCCAGTGCCTAAGTACACCCGCTGTGTGTGACCCGCACAACTTTGAGTATTCATTTCGTCGCATTATAACTCACGCAGAACTTCTCCTCGCACAGGCATGTCGCGCGAGACATTTTGACGCCAATGAAAGTTGTGACCGTCCAAAACGTGCAGAAGTGTAAGACCTCCGCCGGACGTTTTGGCCTTTAAACCGTCCTAGAACGAACGTATTATCCTAGTTAAAACTTCTGGATAAGAATTTACCGTGCAGACTGTGAATTTGCCATCTTCTTCACGATTAACAGCGGAAAAAACTGGGTGGGCAAAATGTATGGCAGTCTTCTGGCGATTCCCGGACGTTTTGGAATTTCGACGGTTTAAGAGCCAAAACGTCCGGACGTCTTGACGGGACGTTAGACATGCTGTCGTTTTTGGGATTTACTGCACCTTATTGCTCACCTTACTGCACTTAACTCAAAACTCACGTTTCAAAAGTTTGCAACCGTTGTTACATCCCATGATGCTTGTACTATCACATCTGATCTCCGTCTGTCGCAGTGGCCAGTACAGCAAATATGCAGCAATAACAAGTGTGATGAGATTTAAAACAAAAGGCAAACAAAAAGTATAAAAAGTTGGTGTTGGATCCAATGGATTGAGTGCAATGGTTTGGATTGGTAGTGGAGAAAGGGAGAGAGGCGATCATAAATGAAAAAAAAAACAATTAAATAAAGAATATTAAATTATATAAAAAAACAATTAAATAAAAAAAAGCGTTTTGCATTACTTTTCGGATGGCTTGTTACAGTAGAGAAAAATCTGTCCAGGTGATATGGCTGCTTTTCTGCGGGAAGCCAGGCAAAACCAAAATCTGCTTAACGGTTACAAAAAGATTGTTAATTTCGTGGAATCCATAGCTGAAGGACTAGACTTCTTGCATAACATTGGCATCATCCATGGAGACCTTAAGCCGGAAAACATTCTTGTAAAAGTCGCAGGAAGTGGTTGCAAAACGTTCGTGATCAGTGACCTGGATGATACAGTTCAACTGGAAGGGAGCGTAACTCGTTCTGCTGACATATCGCAACTGCGCGGCACGATACGCTACATGTCACCGGAAGTGCTCAAGAAGTTAACCCAATTAGAAGCAGAGGCACCCGGGCGAAAAACCGATATTTGGAGCCTGGGTTGCATAATTCTGGAGTTGGCACAAATATCAAGTGGTGAGCGTAGGAAACGACTCATTAAGAGCGGGAACGTCGTAGATATTGAGGACAACCTTACCGAAAACCAGTATGCCGCCAAAATCATCGAAGGTTTCGTGCCCTACGTTAGCGAAGACAATGCACCCCTCTTTGCCGGTCTTATCCGAAAATGTTTGAACGACATTGCTGCGGAAAGGATATCAGCAAAAGAAATACTATTTAGTATGTTAAAAGAAAAGGAAGTTATTGTATTTTTTGCCTACGGCTGTAAAGTTGATCGCACTTTCCTCGTTTTATTACTCGACCCTGCCACTGGATCTCTAAACGCTCAGATAGCGGCCACGAAACTATCGCCATTCATTTGGCTTTCGACCGAATTCCGTCAGTTATCAGATACAGAAATTCTGTTTGCTGAGCGAGTAGATCTTCCAAACAGTCAAATTACGAAGTTGCATTTCTGGAATGCAGGAGAAGGAACATGGCGTGAACTGACGCTTTCATCAGGCATGCATCTGGACACACGTTTGGTAATGGTAAACCGAAAGGGTTACTACTGGGATCGCAATGGACACTTCACAGAACTGGATACTTACACGGGCAGGACTGTTACTCTGAACAGTCCTCTTGCAAAGACTGGGTACGTCTTAAAAGCTAATGCGTTTTCTTAGCGCAAGCAGACCATGAGCCATTCTAATTCAACCTTTGATTTGTAGCGTGGATTTCTCTGTATCAGCAGCGGCAAGATGTGGCAAGCGGATATATTATGGTACACCGTTCAGCTTGCATCAATACGATACGGTAGCCGACGAATGGGAAGCGTTACAAAAATTGCCAATTTGGCTGACGGAATTTGCAATGGCTGTAGTAAACAGCTACGTATACATTATAGGCGGACGTGTGTCGGGCGATGCACGTGCCTCAGCAGGCTGCATTCGTCAGAACATGAATAATCGGTTGTGGGAAGAGATGAAACCACTTAGACAGCCGAGGTATCGCCATGCTGCTTGCGTTATCAAGGAGAAGATATACGTCTGCGGTGGTATAGGTGCTAAAGGTGAGCACGCGCTTACAGTAGAGTTTTACGATACCAAATGCGACGAAGGATGGTCGACTGTCGGTCTGCGGAAAAAGGGCATTCAGCTGTTGTCGGACTTGGTGTCCAAATGTACTGAACATTTCGAGTTTATGAGCGCCATGTCGGTTCATCTGGATGGCGACATTGCTGCAGTTATTACTCAATGAAATACGTGCATTATTATTCAAAAAGCTTTTCAATGTGGATAATGGATATATTCCAAACTGTACTTACAGTCAAGTGGACGGATTAAATAACTGCGCTCGATTTATTGACTAGTTGAACAACTTGAACGATTCTACTTGAGACTATCTGGACATCTTTTCCTACAAGTTAATTGCTTAAGAGAGGTCATGCGGTACATACTCTGTAGTATCAAATAGTACATCAACTGAAACTTGTACATCAACTGAAACTTACGTTTTCGCTGTACTTACTGTACATCAACTGAAACTTACGTTTTCGCTCACTCCGACACAGATTTTGCGTCGCTTTATGACATTCTGCAGCCAAATAAGTTGTTCACGTAGGCGTGAAATTCGTTTGCGCGCGCAACATTCGGTTGGGTAGTTATGGGTGAAACGAAGGTCCAAAAAGTAAAAAAATGCACTCAAGTGTTCATAAAATGCACTCAAGGTTCATAAAATGCACTCAAGTGTACAAGAAAAGGGATTGCAAGTGTACTTTACTTAACCAGACGTAATGCCGAGTTACTTTCTCCCTGCAATAAATTGCGTATCTGCCGCGCGCACAATGGACAGAGCTGTTGACTTTGCCGAAAAACCACGGCAAACATGATCACCGATTCGGCGATTCACCGTTCCGTTTTAAAGCGATGATCGATCAATACAGCACTCACTCATCGCAAACGCTTAGAGCCGCCCCTTGTAGCAGGGGCAACGATGCCCCGGGTAGCTTTAATATGCAGAATGGGGTAAACCAAGCGCCTGCACTCATTTGCCTATGCTGATACCATCACGCTGCTAGAATATGACATTGTGGCAGTACATAATTTATGGTTAAAATAGGCGCGGTACATCAGCGGTGTAATTCCACAACATCCCGTTCCAACCGGTGACGGCAACGAGTACAGCAGAAATTGCTAATCAACTATTACATCAATGGCAAATAGCGCCAATCGGAATGGTAAGGCAGCAGGGGTTACCCGATGCACCATGGCCGTATTAGTTCGCATTTTCGCATTTAATTATAATTATAAAAAATATATCTACCTTTTCATTTTCTTTTAGAAGTAAGTTATTGAATACTCCGCTAAAATGATTTTGCAGACCTTGGTTAAGGGCGTTTTCTAGCAAAATTATTGTTAATACGCTATATGTACTCAGGGCCGTAGCGAGGTCCGTGGGATGGGGTAGGCGCAATTTGGCTGCGCCATTTGCGCCCGCTTCGAAGGTCAGTCTGAGCCACTGCGCCCATAAATTTCGAAGCATGCGCCCGTTGCGCCCGTATAAACAGGCCGCGCTTTACTACTTTAATTAATATAAAATATAGTTTAATTATTATAGTTCTTGATCGCCGTACCTCAGACCAAGGCACATCGGCCAAAGTCCACTCTGCGCCCTGCGCCATTTGCGCCCGCTTCGAAGGTCAGTCTGAGCCACTGCGCCCATAAATTTCGAAGCATGCGCCCGTTGCGCCCGTATAAACAGGCCGCGCTTTACTACTTTAATTAATATAAAATATAGTTTAATTATTATAGTTCTTGATCGCCGTACCTCAGACCAAGGCACATCGGCCAAAGTCCACTCTGCGCCACGGGCGCATGGCCAGTGGCGCCCGTGCGCCCTTTGAAAAATCCAGAAATTTTGCGCCCGTGCGCCTGTGCGCCAGTTTCGGGCGCAAATATTATTCAAAAGTTGGCCGAGGAGGGGTAGGCGCGCGCCAGTGCGCCTATACCCTCGCTACGGCCTTGTATGTACTTGCTGAAATGGCGCAGCAATATCGGATTTCACTAGTCTTCTCTTGCAGAAAGGCCACTGAAAGTCTTTTGAAGAAGCAATTCTCAGCAAAAAGTATTTTAATTTCAGACAAAAAAGTGCTTGAGAGGGCTAACAAGATAAGTTTCGAATGTCCATAAATGATAAATTTATTAAACTGGTAATATGCATGAATGAGCCCATATTTTCCTGCACTTGGCTGCTGATTTCTCATCTCGGGAAAAGTATATCGCTTTAAGAGGTTCCGTAGCCTTTTCTGGCGTTAGTTTATTAAAAACAGGTTAGGATTCAGTGATTCGGCAGGGTTTAACAGTCCAACCAGCGTCGCTGTTTTACCCAGGAAACATTTCCATCAGGTTTCTTGCTGATATTCTGACAGTGCTGGGGACACCAAAACAAGGGACAATAAAGTTAGCGAGGTCGCTCGGAACACTAGCATCCACATGCGGGATATCACCATCGATAATTAGTATCTGGTATTGCTCAGGTGTCTTGTCAGTTGTATCTAGAACTGTATCGTTGTGCTTCAAGGACATGCGACTTATGCCAGCATGACAATTTGCTAACTGCAACATAATGCACCCCAAGCTCCAGACATCTGTTTTGCGTCCAAGTGGTTCTGTTGGCTGTTGAGCAAACTTTTTCAGCATTTCCGGTGACATATACCAAGGCGTACCGCGCAAGTGCGTGATGGGCCCGGATGACATTTCTTCTTGCTGCGTGACCACAAAGTCATCTAAGTCGCCAATCAACAACGATTTCCTGTTACCGCTCACATGCTTAACCAACACATTTCCGGGTTTTAAGTCTCCATGAATCATATCTTTTTCGTGCAAAAAGTTCAATCCGCTAGTCAACTCTTTCATATATCGCACGACGGTTTCCTTATCCAGTGCTGCTCCAACTGCTCGTAGCATTTGCAGAACTGAGCCGAGGTCTTCGTCTACAAGCAACAGTAAAACATTATTATTCTCCAAAACAAGGAACATATATGAAGCGCCTGTTTTCAGCTTTTAAAGCCTTGCAACAAGAAGCCGAAGTTCTCAATTAAGTAAGGAATGCAATGCAGATCGAACAAAATGTCCAAACGAAAAAGACGTCCGATGGCATGGTCTGGAAGCAGACCAAAACTTCCGGGGCCAGGAATGTCCGTCGCAGGCTTTATCTAACCAGATTTTTCAAATTTTCCTCACAGGCTTCCTTAATGGATTTAAATTTCGTACTGTGAACTTTTATTGGCATACAACCAGTCTCAGCATCACGTCGTTTACAGACCACGAAACGAATAAAATGTAACGCCGTCGCTCGCCGCACCGTTGTCGGTGACTTGAGAATTTAAAATTACTCAAAAAGCGACTGATGCATCAAAAAAGTAAATAAAACATGGGTGGGCTTACGTAGAACGGATTTATTTTGTCCCGGACGGGGTGGCAGGTTTAACGACCTAAACGTCCGCCGGCTGTCTTTGTCATCCGGACTTTTTGTTCGGTTACATGTCTTCTACTACTGGCGCTATGCTGAACGTAGCTTCGATTGATGATTGCGTAAACTAGAGTGGTGCTTCGCAAGTTATTAACGGTGTTAGGAACTCACCCCGATAGTAGTCCATTACAATTTCAATGCAGACGCCACCCAGTGCCTCCGTCACGGTAATTTTATGGTATGCAACCACGTTAGGGTGCCGAAGTTCCAGTAGCTTTTCCAGTTTAGCATACAAAGTTTTGTAGCTTTCTTTTGTAGGAAATTGTTTGCTAGATATTGGGACAACTTTCACCGCTACGATGTCGTCTCCATTAAAGCTGTTGCGTTCTGCAACCGTTGCTTTGTAAACTGTGCCACAGGAGCCCCTCCCGATGAAATCTCCATTTCCATAGCGGCATTTCAGCTTAGTCCCAAAAACACGGCTTTTCGTGTCCTTTGCATGCCGATCGTAAATCTGGAATTTTGTGTAAATTAAGCACGCATGAGTACTATACTTCGATGAACCTCATATTCCGGCACCCCTTTGTCTTCGTTTACAGCATTTTTGGGGCTGTCATACTTCTGCGAAAGTCTCTTCGATTACTTCTATGTTTTTGTTCACAACACCTCATTTTGGCCGAAAAGGATAGAGTATACGTATATAACAAACCTAAAGTGCTTATTTTGTCATTGGTATCCCCATAGAGCTGGCTCAATCGGTACTGTTAGTGTTGGAACCGCATCTTTTACTTCGCTGTCCCCGGAAGAGATACCAGTGAAACAACCAAAAGTCTAACGAACCGAAGGAACCGAGAGAACCAGAAAAAATATAGGAAGCCTAACAAACCTATGAAACTCGAAAATCTGAAAAAACAGAAAAATTTATGACGGTTCCAACAGCAACAATATTAATGAACTTCGCTAAAGTTTATATAGGGGGCAAATCTAAACGCGGTCTACCGTTCCCCTCTACTGCTGCCGTCACCCGGCTGGAGTGTGACGTTGTGGCTGAACATGACGCAACGTTGTGGCTGAACTGAACACCGCGCTTGATGTAGCCATATGTGCTGCCGTTCTGCCCCTTGTATGTTCCAGCGGTGTCATTTCAGATCAGAAAAATAGCCAGAAGCGATTCTATCAGCTGCGCTCAGTTCCGACAGCACTGGAACTGATAAACTAACGGAACTACAGGAATTATAGAACCAGTGGAACTCTGAAGAAACAGCTGTATTGTTTTCATGTTTGAGTATAGTGGAGAGACTGTGCAGTGTGATAATCATGTTTTAGCGTCCAAGCCAAGGTGCTGCCCAATTTTTAAGCAGAGCAGAGAACAGAAATTTATAGTGCACTTACTTTTTTAAGTTCGATATAGACTTCTTTAGCCGATGGTCTCTGTTGGACTTTATGTTTGGGTAGCAGGCATCGTCGCATAAATACAGCCAGATCAGCTGGTACATCATCGCTCACAAACGGGACGTGGCCGGCTTTAATCAATTCCCTGTAGCGTTTATCAGATATGTTATCTCCTGATTCTCTGACTCCTTTGGTGTCGCTGTAGAAAAGCAGCTTGCCATAGTTCTTCGTGAAACAGCACGCAAGATCCAGAATAATGCAGCCTAAGCTCCACACATCGCCTTTTGGACCAGGCATTTCTCTTGTTTCACGATCGAACATCTCGAGTGTTTCCGGCGACATATAGCGAACAGTCAACGAACCTCCCAAGTCAACGCTACATGTTGCGTCATTCCGGGATTTAGCAAAGTCGTCTAGGCCACTTATTTTTAGTTTGTACGAGTATTCATCGTTATTCAAGCGCTCTAACAGCACAATTTTCGGCTTCAGGTCTTTATGCACAATTTCTTTCCTGTGCAAGAAGCTAATTCCATCTGCAAGCTCAATAGAATAACGCAGTAATGTTTCGAGTTTGAATGTACTTCTGCGTTTCTCAAGGTTGTCCAAGTAACTTGCTAAATCGTCTCCTGTTAAGAAATAAGCACAATTTCATGAACTTTGCATTGGTAGTAGTTTAGACAAACTGCTTACCTTCTACATAATCCATCATTAATTCAATGGTCGCGCCTCCTTTCGAAACTTTGGAAGGGGTTATAGTTATTTTATGATAAGTAATTAGATTTTCGTGGTGAAGTCCAATTAAGAGTTTCAGCTTGTGCCGCAGTATATCAACGTATATGGGATTGGCGGAAAGTTCCCTGTCACTCAAAATAATTTGCTTCACGGCGACAGTTTGTTGCGGCAGCTCTGGCCGTCGATGTCCCCAGCAAGCCACGAATGTATCCAAAACACCGCGATTGTTGATGACCGTTGCTTTATAAACGGCACCGAAGTGGCCTCGTCCGATACAGATGTTGGTATATCTGTACGTGCAGTTGCTGCCGAATTCTTCATGTTGCAACTGCGTGTGTCGCTCCATCCTGTAAAAGGTGACGAGAAAATTGACACAACGGTTTAACTTTAATCAATATCGCCGCTATTCCAACTGTTACCAGTGCATTAGAGTTACCCTTATACAAGTTTCTGTGGTCTCTTAAGACTTCGAAAAAATCTTGTTTCACATCGCCGGCAGATATAAACCCATCCAATGGGTTCGCTGCTCCACCATACGATTAAATCTGGCAACGACACGTGTCACGCAAGTTTTATGAAACTCGAGTTCTGGTGCAGGATAAGTTCTAACTGTTAATACTGGTTGATCATAGAAGTGTCTTCATATCTTCGACTGTTAATCTTGGTCATTAAAATTGAATTGTTTCTCTGCCGGCTTATCGCTGGCTCTAAACAATTACTTCTTTCAAAAAGGTAAGTTTAAATTACAGTCAAACACCAAACTTATACCAAACTTCTCCCACGGAGAGTAATGTGAAACTAACTGCTTCCAACTTTACACAACAACTGCAATGGCCTGTGGCTTTTTTTCCGCGTATACAGTAAATCGGCAAAATAAAACAAAAAAATTAATAAAATTATCTCTTTATAGATTATGTACCTCTTTAGTAGGCTTCTGTAAGTGAATTCTCGCGGAAAAATTCTTTCGTTGCAGCAAAGAAAGGATTTCATATCAGAAGAGTCATAACGGTTATCAGGGGTAAATACTGATACACGCGTATAGCAGCCGCTGGCACATTATTTCACAAGCTAAACGCGTAAATGCTAAACGTGTTTGCGCTTCTTCAATATCTAATGCAACTAAAAGATTTACGGCCACACTCCACAGTAGTTCTACAGCTAATGCAGTTATGCTTAGGTATCTTATCGGGTGCGCGCACTATGTTGTTGAAGTACATCGCCACAGCGCATCTTTCCGTTACGATCGCGCTACATGGTCGCGTTCAGTCTAACTAATTTTTTTCTCAATTCCACGTACTTATCAACAGGCTGTCTCACCGAGGGAAGCTCAATAAACGAAACCGAAAACATCATCCCATTTTCTTGAGCTATTCGCCCTTTTCAAACGCCATTGTGATTTTTACTGGGTTTGTGATGGGGAACATCAGTTCCAGTGCAGTGGTAGATTCAGTTCCATTGGTACGAGTGGAACAGACTGGTAGCAATATGCAGTACCGATTTTCACGTGATGATCTTATTGGAAAGGGAATGTTTGGAATCGTATACAAAGCCAGAGTTTCAAAACGTGGCGATTATACAGGAGAAAATGTTGTTGCTGTCAAAGTGGTACACCTTGATGCGAATTCTGAAGCTTTTTGCAACACAGAAAAATGGGCAAGAATCCTGTCGGGATTAAAAAGGCTCATATATCTGCAGCATCAACATCTCGTAGTTTATCATAAAGTTTCGATTTTCAAAGATTCCCGCGGGGCTACATTTGAGCTGGCAATGGATTACTGTCAAGGTAACACGATACTCATGCATTAGATGCATAGCAGCTCTTCGGTAACCAGATTCGATATCATACGTAAACGTTTTCTAGACGATCTGGCTTCTTTTCTCGAAAACGCTGAACGAAACAGGAGCTTGGTAACAACTTATAGAAAAGTGGTTCGGCTCGCAAAGGACATTACCTGGCTTCTTCTCGAAAACGCTGAACGGAAACAGGAACCTGCAAATATTCTAGTGGTTCGACCACAAATGACAGGGAAATGCTTCTAATTTGCATCAAAATATTGGGCGACCTAAAACCTGCAAATATTCTAGGTAACAAATGGTGAAATGCTTACGTGATCAGGTTACATTGAAGTGCAAATGTTCTGGAACATAACCCACTTACAAAACCATGTCGCCGGAGAAAACTTTTACTTTGAAATTGATAATGCTGAATTTGAGTTTTTGCAATGCTGAAATAAAAATGGCGAGAAAATTTTTAAAAATGGCATTTTTGAGATAAATTCTCTTAATCAATCAACGTTTAATCATGTTACGTGCCATTTGTGAGCGCCGACATTCCTGAGCACTTAGCCGTTCTCATCCGACAGTGTTGCGAGCTCTTGAATAAAGATTGAATAACCTAAGGAACAAAAAAGTTTTTGTTGTGCTTTTGTTAACCAGTTTGTTAATACTGGATCCCTTACCCAACTCTTTTAGAGTTCGGGTGTGTAACGTGCCAACGTCGATAAATTCACTGTCGGCCCATAATATTCAGTTTTCTAGTGCAGGAACCGAAATAATGTTGATAGAGTGGGCGAATAATTCAGATTGCGGAAATGTGAAATGTCACTTCATAAACGTGAGCAATGGATCGCATCGCACACTACGGTCTTCTTTGCTGATACGCCACATGCCAGCCGTTGTAGTCAAACCCAAGATTTATTTCTATGACGGCAGGTTCTTTGCGGAAATGGATATTCATGACGGGAGTGTTGTGCCCCTGAAGACTCCTCCTTTCAGAGCTAAGTACGCAGCAAATGTTTGCGTTGCACAATTATTATACATCACATAACGCAGCATACAAAGTGTAACAGTATTTTTTGTTGCAGCACTCGTTCATCTATAGAAGCAGCTGCAAAATGTCGCAAGCAGATATTTTATATAAAAGGTTTAAATTTGGAACGGTATGATACGAGATCCAATGAATGGTATTCTTCTTTCCCACGTTTGGAAAAACGTCGACGGAAATTTGCTATGGCTGTGCCGAGCGGATACGTATACATCCTTGGCGGAGATTTCGGGACAGACTCTGAGTTTGTTCCCACAAATAACTGTATTCGTTTGAATATAAAATTTGCGACGTGGGAAGGGATAAAGCCGCTTCGATAGCCAAGATTTGAACACGTTGCTTTCGTAATCAGGGATAGAGTGTACGTTTTCGGCGGCAAAGATGCTGAAGGAGAACCGGCGACATCAGTGGAGTTCTACGACATTTACCGTGACACAGGATGGACCGAGGTCGCATTATCAGATAAAGATAAGGGACTAATGGTAGATATGGCCGGTTTATGTCAAGGATTTTGGGCTAAAACAGCCACTGTATGTGTTACTCTGGATGACGATGCGTCAGCAGATGTTGTTAGCTCACCTGCACATTGGATCCAGCATCTTAAGCTTTCGACAGTTTTTCAGTGATTTTAAACTGCAGAACGGAATAAAGTGGTGAAACTTTATTTTTGAAAATGTACAGTCGATTTATTTAAGGGAGTAATTTTTTTTCAGCACGCGAGAGGGTAAAGGTAATCTGTACCAGTACGGTGCATATGTGCGGTTGGCAATAAGCATTTGTTGTCGTCGTCGCTGCACTATAATGCACCACGGTGCAAACGTGTCTGTTTTAAACTACTAATACCAAAAACTACTAATACAATCTGACTAAATGAGGAGGCTACGGTCTATGTTAAAAAGCCAGCGAACAGCCTTTTTTGCCCGCTGAGGCTGGTTGATCAATGCAGCTTCTCTGCTATGACTATAAATAGACCGAAGACAGCGGATTCCAGTGCTGCCAAAAAGCGCAAGCTGAATGCTGCCTTGCTGTATCGATCGATCGGCACATGTGTGTGCGAGTGGGTTAATCCGCTCGCATTCACTTACACGCGTACGAGTGTGGCTGTCTGTGCGCGTACTAGCTGTACAAAGTCACTACAAACCGGTTTTCGCTGTCTTCGCCAAACGCATTATCCTAAACCCGTAGCTTCCTTTCTTGCTCGCATTGTATGTCAGAAAAAAAGGACATAAAGTCTGCAGAACTTAGTGCACCCTTGTGCACGCATTGCACAGTACGGTGCAGTCTGTCTGTAGTGCAAAATAAACCGAGCATTAATGTCGTCCTCGTTGTTACCATATTGCATTGCACTACTGTGTCCGTAACAATTGCCCACGGCTGCTTCTTGTGTGCAACAAAGACTTTGTCATTGCCGCCGTTGCCTTGCATAGCAACAAAGTTATTGCAACAATCATTTACGGGCGGTTCGCAATTTTCCGTAATTTTTTTTATATCACAGTACACCGTGCAAGCAGTTTGCAAGCTCGTAATTCTTATCTTTGGTATTATTGCGAGTACTATATTTTGTTTTGTCGTCGTAGCCGTGCCGCAACAAGCCCGTTATGTCGGCGTTCCAACACATATTCATAGCACTGTACGATACTGCAAAGAACTATTTTGCAAAATAGTGTAAATTAAGTACTGCATTGCTTTTAAATGTCTCAGCGCTTGATCGTCTGTTTCGGCTTGTTCGGCGTTGTTCGGGAAGGTCCTTTTGAGGTGCTTTAGGACTTTGAGTATTTAAAGTATTGCACTTTAAAGTTTAAAGGCTAAGCCATACTTTAAAGTAAACAGTACTTCAAAGTTTTAAAATACAGCATGCCAAAGGACCTTCCCAACATTTTCAAAACAAAAAAGCTGAGACATTAAAATTGCAGTACTTTACTTTAAAGTACTGCAATACTTTGAAATGCCTCAGCGCTTAATAGTTTGTTTCGGCTTGCTAAAGTGCAACAGTAATTTTAAAGTACTGCTGTACTTTTAAAGTACTGCAATACTTTAAAATCCCTCAGCGCTTGATCGTCTGTTTCGGCTTGTTCGGCGTTGTTCGGGAAGGTCACTTTGGCGCTGCAGTAATTGTATTTTGTACATCAGAGTATGTGACGTATAAAATACAGCGTACAATAGCCAGTACTTACTACTTAGCGTTAAGATCGACGATTTCTACACAACAATATAATACAAGTTACAGCAAATGTTGCTGCCAGCGGCTGCATGTGCTGTCACGGGTACTGTACCTGCATTCCTGATCACATTCCCCTTATTTTTACCAGGGGCGTGGGTAATACATGGTTGTGCAGTACCCAATATGGGCGCCTACCCGACGACGACGTAGTTCGACGAGAAAATACCAGTGAACTGCAACAAGGCCCACGGAGAGATGAGGAATCACAACATCAGTCAACAGTGCATTACTCGGCACATCCATAAATAAAGTAGTTGACAATAATACTTACATGCACTGATCTGACACGGCGACGATAAAATTAAATAAATTATTAGCGTTAACGTAAATACACAAAAACAATGGTGCATGCACCAAAAGCGCACATGCATGCACCAATGGTGCAAAAATGCATGCACCATTGGTACGGATCTTTACTGGTGCCATTTAGGCCGTACAGACATTCGAACGTTATGACGGAAAGAGGATTATCTCGGAGAATTGACGTTACTTGACGGAGTGGTACTAGTATTAATTTTCGCTCAATACGTTTCGGAGGGAACCATAAATAG